AATCCCAGTCCTTCAAGTATTGTTTGACTATAGTAATATTACTTAAAATACTGAATGTATTTCTTTAATAGTTCAATTAGGTTAAGGCTTTGAAGAGGAAAGTTACCCTAATTACAATTGCTTGGTGAGAAGAAACTTTTCAGGATTTGTGTATAGATTCTTGTTTTGTAAGTGTCTCTCGATTTTCCAAGGTTTCGCTTAAGCCTAGGCATTGAGAGGCTAATCCTCTTTTCTTGAAGGGTTACTTTAAAAGTGTTATTTCCTTAAAGTGCAGAATCATTTAGAGAAGCTTCTAAGGAAATATTTACTTGAGTAGAATTAGGAAGTAATATTTATTCCTAATTTTTATCAGAAACAGTTATTCTGTAAACATAGGTAAACCCTCCCATCTCCCATTTTGAAAGAAATTTTACTTTAGTAACAATGCATTAATATAGTTTCAAAAATATCTTTGACTATTGAATGCTTTATGTTCTTGTAGGGATAATCATTATACTATCTGTCACTATTTTAGTGAAAAACTTTGTTTTTCCTTGGATGTGTCACTTTAGTTACATTGGATGACATTTGTATTTTTAGAGAAATTAGACTTGACCAGTGCTTTATTGATTGGTCCAAATTTGTGGCATGTTTTTCAGAAAGACTTATGATGGGTTGGCGCACAGAAATGTCATATTCCAATCACGACATGAGAAATGGTTGGATTGCCTGTCCTACTAGGAGGTATTCTTAAAATTAGTTATCCTGTTATATCAATATCAATATATTTATCTCCTATTAAGAATGAGACCTCTTGTTATTGTTACAGTTAAAAATCATGATAGGTACTGATTAAATTCATACAAATGATCATTCTGGGAATTAATGTGCCTGACTTTTTTGGATTTCAAATTTTTGATGGTTCTTCTAAACAGAAAAATCATTTCTCTTAGTGAATATCCATTAGCATATTCCATTTACTCAATAATTGATATGCATTTATTATTAGTAATGAAATTATATCCTGAAAAATATAAAATATTGTTTTTCCTATGTTTATGTTTTTTCTTGAGACTAGATCTGCGGTACTGCAACTTAAAACAAAATATAAACCTCACCACAATTCATTTCCATTGCATTCAAATAGTAAATTACATAATAATTAAATTTTTATCCATTAGAAATGTAGCTTCAAGTGTTGCATAAGAAAGATGCCAGAATCTTGCAGCACTTACCAGCTATATAAACCTGTGCTGAAAGATATTTATTAAATCTAAAACTATTAAAATTATTTTACAGTTTAGAAGATGCCAGTATTTCTCCGTGAAAAACTGACTTGCTCTTTGTTGTTACAACTCCCTCTTATTTTACATGTTTAAAGCTCTTAAACTCATCTTGGGTTTTAATCACCTAATCCACATATAGCCATGTGTGTTCCCTCTCTTTTTAAGAATGGTCAATAGTAAACTGAGCCACAAAATAAAGACAAAGGTCACAGAGTTACTAATTGATGGGAATAATGGAATTCAGAGATCCCTGAGGCTTTTTTGAGGTACTTTTTAAAAAATTCAGGAAGCATAGACAATGCAGTAAAAAGCTACAGTCAGAATGCTGTAGTGAGCACTTTACGAGTCAATTTGATTTTATAAAATGAAACTTTAGTAGGTCTGTTACTTTTTATTTTACTCTTGACGTAATCACAAACTATATTTTAACTACTAGCTTACACTTTAAATGTGTATGTACACATTTAATATTTCTATTATGAAATTTAATTATAAATCATTTTAGGTCACCAGTTTTTTGAAACTAGCAGAACTTATATATGTGAACAATTCTATATAAACCATTCTTATATAAAGTCAAGGGTCATAAAAACCCAACCAGAAATAGAGATTTTTATTTTCTCCTTTCTCTTTGTTGCTGTGTGTCTGTGTATATATGTGTATGTAAATGTAGCTAAGTGAGTTATTTCATACTAATGAATAATTTTAAGGTCTGGGAGCTGCCTTCCAGCTTTTCACAAATTGCTACCACAGCAAAATAAAACCACATAGAGTAGAATGAATACATATTTTCTGTATATAGAGAGCATTATGAAGCTCTACATTCAGAGCTGTAAAAAATTTCTGTAAGGAGATAATTAATTAAAGAGAAATAAATAATATTTAGTCATTATATTTTAACATTTATCCAGATAACACTGTAGACAATTTGATCCATGCATTTAAGGAAAACTGCTATCTTTCTTTTTGGAAGCATTTGTTGTACAGTTCCTAAATTTATTTGTCTGTAAATTGACGCACTTTGAAGAAGTAGGAAGCAGAGAATGAGAGTTTATCTCTGTATAAAGAATCCTCTGTTTTAGATTTTTGACATAGTTGAATATTAAAGCACATGTATTTTTTCCTTGCTACAGTTTGATTTTTAAGCAAGTAATTATATGAAATTTATACATATAAAACTTCTGAAAATTGTTTTTAAACTCCTAAATTTTTAAGGCAAACATGTAAATATTAAATCTAACCATTAGCACAACCAGTGATTAGTTTACAGTGTTTTTAAAAATCTCAAATGAGATGCTGATGACTATTTCTGATTTCAAATATTATATATCACATAAACTGAAAATTGTAACTCTGTAAGAATGGACACATTCCTTTTGCACTTTAAGAAATTAGTTTTCTGAATCTTTTAAATATAGGATCTAAAGGTTCATTTACCCATCATTTCAGATGTTCTGGGAAGAAATATCTAATTATTTTTCCATGACATCTACCCTTTTTTTCAGATTCTCGACTGACATTTTGTCGTGTTATTGTGTCCACGCTATTTAGTTCCTCCTGGAGCCTTCCGAATTTCACACGCACTGCTTCAATCAGCTCCTGCAGAGCGGATAACTTACCTAGGGACCCAGGCCTTCCTGGACAAGCAGCCAATCTTGAACGGGGCGACTGCCCTTGTTTTATATTTTTAAATTTTTTTGCATTTCAAAGTATAGGTGTTTGTTACAGTAATTTATTGGAAGTTAAAAGCCATTGAATTTTTCTAGAAATATATATATATGCACACAGATAGATATCTTTCTGTGTGTGTGTATAAATATATATATATATATAGAGAGAGAGAGAGAGACAGAGAGAGAGGATGGATTATGTAGAAATGAACCTACCTGCTGGCATTTTTTTATTTAAAAACTTTTATATTGTGACATAAAGCATTTTTGTATCTCTATAAACTAATGTGTCTTTATTTTCTAGTACATATTTCTGTAATGTAAACTTGCCTGTGTAGATACAAAAAGCAGTTTGAAAACTGTTTTCTGTGTTTACAAAATATACGTTAATGGGATTTGAGTGGGAAGGGTTTGAGACAACTCAGATTTAGTAAGAAAGTGGAGGAGAGGGAATTTTCCTAAGAAGCTTTAGACTACGTGCAAGTTGAGAATCTATCCTGTATGTAGTAGAGGTAAAGGTCCAACTCTGCCATTAATTTAAAAGAAAACTAAGATTTTGGTAGAATCCTGAGTAAATTATTTTTAGAGTTTTAAAGATCTTAAAAAATGTTACACATCAAACTGGGCTTTAAAACAGTAACAAAAATTTGGGCCTACTTTTTCAGATGTATACTTACCTTAAAATGAGTAGCAGTTAGGTAAAAGGGAGGGGTACTAGAGGAAAAAAATGTTATAATGTCCTGTTTTAATTAAGGGTTGAAATATATTTCACATGAAAAATAGAGTTTAATTTTTAGTATTATTATTTAAATCAGTGTGCCAGAATTTTCAGTGTGGATAGAGAAGAAGAGGCTCTGATTTTGTAAGCTGCAACAATAAATATATATATTTCAAATGCTAATGTGTTAGGTTTTTAACTTTTCATTTCATTTTGAAAATATGTAGCAACCACATTAGATTTTTGAGTAATAGTATTAACAGTAAATAAGCAAGCATGGATCTAAAATTAAACAAAATGAATTAGGACTTTAAGATGTGGATACTTTTACTTAATATTCTATATGGGGAAGATACTGTATTATCAAGGCATCAAATGTGTTTCATGTTAATCAAGAACATTGGTATTTTAAAAAATTTGTTTATGTTTTCTGCGATTATAACACTGTTTGCCTTTCCTCAGACTGAATTTGAGTTGATTATTTCTTAGTGCCTTTAGGCAATCAGTGGCATTTAAGTTTTGTAAAAGAAAACTTTGTGCATAAGATGTTTCCAATAAAACAAAAAGCTCATTGAAGTTGCTTTGTTTAGATTTTAGTTTAGATCCACGTCTGTTCTGCTTTGTTTATCTCCTTTGACAAAAAGAATGGAAACAACTTTTTCTGTGTTCAGATTTTTATATAAGAAAGTAATTTTTCTTTGTGCCTTCTGTTCTTTTAGACATTTAGAAGCAAAATACTGCCTCCATATTAAGTAGCAAGAATACAAGAACTTGAATAGACTAAAAATTATTATGGGGCTTTTTCTATCACATGGGGCTATATTTTCTAGCATTCCTATGGTACTTTGTTTCTTTCTTCCTTATGAAGAAATAAATCTTGTTATATTATGAACTAAAATTTTACACTATAATTCTTACTGGATATTTATGATAATTTAGTGAAATTGTTTTATCACCATTAACAGCATTATTGACAAGGTGAGAGTAGATTACATTTAGAATTCAGTCAGACAGGCTACTAGCTCTTTTGAGAAGTGGAAAAACTGATGCCATGTAAAAACCCAAATTTTCAAAAATGCATGACTTCTGATTTTGCTAAATGTCTTAGTTGTATTTTGTTTTAAAGACTTTCTTTCTGCCAAAGACATACAATGTCAACTATTCAGATCCTACATGTGTAAGTTAAGTTGGAATAAAATTATTTCAAGAGTTATTTTTTAATTTATTGTGAGCACTGGTACAGTTTTCTAAAGTTTATTTTTTAGTTACCATTTTTTTGCATTACTATTAATTTTTAAAGCATTGTTTGAGAAACATTTTTAAAACAGCTTTTTGGCAGTGAATTATAGATGAATAGTCAAATCAGTATTGGTCTTAAAATTCTTTTGGAAGGTGGCCAAATTTTTCTGTCCAGCAAAGAAACCGTTAATCTGATGTTTATGCATTGAGTTTTCTGGTGTTTTATTCTTTAAATGCCACAGAATCTGAAAATCACTCCATTGTGCTGTAAACGGTTTGGGGAATTTTTTTTTTTTTTCCTTTCTGAATAGTGATTGAGCACCACCTGTTGGTCAACTTGAAGTATTTTAATTTGTGAATTCATCAAGAATTTGTTAAATGATTACATACCTTAGTTACTGAGGTCTTAATTATTTCACAGTATGGATATGTTTTAAAAAACTACCTCCCATAATATGCCTATGTTATTATATATCACAAAATAACATACCTTACTATTTAAGTTTTCCTAACTTTGCCATAAGCTACTGAATTTTAAATTATACTTTGATAGAGATATATGATATTTTCTCAAGAATAAATCCTATTTAGTTGGGAAGTTATTAAAACATTCTGTGAAGATGATCAAATTGAGGAAGAATGGTTAGGTGATTCCTATGCTTTTATCTATGAGTTAACCTGAATGATGCTAGATTTAATTTTTAAGAAAACTAAATACTTCTTAAATTATTTTTCTTCGCTAATAATAATTTGAAGTACATTGTCTAGTTTTTAACTATAAATTCTTATAATAAAATGATTAATATGTTTATTATAATATAATTTTAATAATGTTTAACTTTGGTCATTGTGTATGTTACTTTGAAATGGATATATACAACTCACATACTAATAAAACAAAGTATTTAAAAAATGTCAATTTTTAATACAAGTTAATTTTAATAAACAAATTTTTTCAGATCAAAGTAAAAAAAAGCCTAAAGTGACATTTGGTGATCTTATAGATATTAAAAATGTGTATTCTTTTGATTAGGTGTAGAAAGCAGCTGTGGTATTTCTTTCCATTCCTGACATCAAAGTGGGTGCTACAGCTGTATCAAAGTCTTAACCCTCATACATTAATAATGTACAGTAAATAAATCAGTGCTTTGGGGTTTTAGGGAGGTTGATCTTTCGATTTTAGGGCATACTTCCCAAGCAGAAATCATTCAATGCTTCATATTAGATGTATTCTTAGAAAGAAAATAGTATATTTTTAAATATAGAAATCAAGACTTGTGGTGTCAGATACATCGTTTCAAATAATAATGTTGATTCCCCTCAATACCTGTTGCATCCTCCTTTGTTCATTTAATATCATAACTTCGTCGCAGTGTTCTAAGCTAGAAACTTGATATTCACTTCCCCGTCACTCATCTCATCTTTAAAATTTCTAAGATTTGGAAATAACTTCATTCTTTCTACTCTTCTATTATCTTCTTCAATCCTCATTATTTCAGAGAGCTTCCCAGGTAATGGTGTTGTGTCCAATATCGTTCCTGTCCCACTCTGTTCTCAATTTTTAATTTTTTCTCAATAGCAGTGGATGGTTGTTGGGGTGTTTTGTATGTTTGTTTATTTTTGGTGGAGTGGTGGGGAGTGCTTATTTTTCTACTAAAACTTGGCTGGTCATGTTAAGGGTAAACATACATACATACATATATATATATATACATATATATACATACATACATACATATGAGAGAGGGAGGGAGTGATGAACCCTTTGAAACCAGTAACTTGTAAAGGTTTTTGTTTGCTTGTTTGATCTTTTAAATCCACTCCTAAGGGTAGCCTTTGACATACAAGAGGGCATATAACTTGAAGAGCAGACTTCCTGCGTACAAATTGCAGCTCTGCTTCTTTGTCTTGAACACTTTACTTCATTCCTCAGCTTCTTGATTTTCACTTTAGTTTGATGGGAATTGTAACAGTACCTGCTTCATAGGATTATTGTGAAGATCAAATGTTTTAATATGTGTAATGTTCTTAGATGGTGCCTGGTACATATGCTTGATAAATGTTAACAGTTAATTTTATTTTGTATTTTAAGAGAACAGGTTTCATTTATTTAATAGGTACAGTTCTAAGATAACCATAATGCTGTTTGTCCCACTCTCCCTCCCTCAACCTCCCTCCTTCTTTCTTTTCTTTTTGTTTTTTTTTGTTGTTGTTGTTGTTTTTGGTTTTTTTTTTTTTTTTAGTTTAGTTTAGTTTTTGCAAGAACATAATTTCAGGCCACTCTGTCATCATAGGCATAATGCACCACTAACCATAATATTCAACAGTAAAAAGTATAAAGACCACAGTTCCACAGAAGTATAAACAAGTGCTCAAAACAACAGTCAAACCACAAGATGTCCATTTCATTCTTTACATTTTCATTTGCTATTTTCCCTTCCTACTCAACAGCTAAAGTGTACAACCCTAGTCAACCTTGCTTTCTCATTTGTTAGCAATATTTCTCCTTGTTTATATTTTTTAAGGTGAACAGATTTCATGTATTTCATGTATTTCATTGAGAAGCATAGTGATACTTCCCTCCCTCCTGCCCATGTTCCCACCCTCCTCCTTCCTTTCTTATTCTTTCCTTTATAATATTTTAAAAACTCAAATGAGCAATTTAACACCTTATCTCAAAATTTGGGAAACTATACAAATATGGAACAAACATTTTAAAGTTTTTTTGACACATTTTATTTACACGTATCACATTTTATTTTTTAACTTAAAAATTTTTAACAGACACTTGAAAATTGTAGATATTTATGAATTACTATGTGGTGTTTTGGTACATGAATACAGGTGCAATATCTGGTAAGGGTATATCTTCTCAAATATTTAACATTTCTTTATGGTAAATAGTAAATTATCTGTAATCATTCTACTGTGTTGTGAATGTTACATTTTAATGTTAATTTAAAAATCTTCAGTATCTGAAAATCATTTTCTTTAAAAGTTCAATTGTGTAGTTTCAGTTAATTCTTCAGAATTGAAACATGTATGGAGGTACATAAATATGTTATCAAAAGTTGTTGTTGAATTGTGTTAAAGTATTGATATAACTATTAACCAAAATGTTTTTCTTTGTGGAAGAATGTAGAGAAATACTGTTAAGAGCATAAAATATGCAGTGGAGGATGGCCCAAGTGCTTGGGCCCTGCACCCGCATGGGAGACCAGGAAAAGCACCTGGCTCCTGGCTTCGGATCAGCGTGGTGCACCGGCCGCAGCGGCCATTGTGGGGTGAACCAACGAACAAAAGGAAGACCTTTCTCTCTCTCTCTCTCTCTCTCTCTCTCACTGTCCACTCTGCCTGTCAAAAAAAAAAAATAGAGCATAAAATAAGAAATTGGTACATTCCTTTTTATAGGAAGACTTTTAAATTTAAATATGAAGACCTAGCATAGACCTTTTTATAGGAGAAAATCTGAATGTAGTAACATCTGCAGATGGCTGTAAAGGACACCGTGTGAAGCCATCCTGTAACAAGGCTTATTGCACAACTAGACGTCCTGTGATTGACAGTGGTCGTGGATTTACTTGTTTACTCACCTTTTTCTTTCTTGGTTTGATGTGTTTTCTAATCACTTCCAGCCAAGTTTGAATTACCTTATTTGCTTTCAATGATTTTTGGGGAGAGGGTATGAATGGGCACATAAGTAAAAGTTAAGAGAATGCAGGTGTATATACATGCATAGTTTAGTTGTAGCTAAACCTGATTTCTTCAGTTTGAAATTTTTACTCACCATTTGGCATTGGTAAGATGAAAGTTAGAAGCTTTTGTTGGGATACATGCTTCTGAACCTAGACAGTTCAAAAATTCATAGAAATGTTCGTAAAGAATGAGACTCACTGAGTAATGTTGATATTAGATTATAAAGCACAAAGAATAGGAGACTACTACTTCTAGGAGTTACAAAAAGCATATACTTCAGATAACAGAGCAAAGAGAAATTTGATGCTTTGTTGGGTTGGGTCCTTTATTTTAAATACCAGTATCATTAACAGTATATACATTGCATGACTTTTAAAAATGTCATGGATGTGTGTCTGTTTTCATGATTGAATGCTTATGCTAGAAATAAGTGTAGGTTGAGGTGAGAATTTGGCATAGTAGGTAAGACACTTTGGAGTGCTGTGTCCATTATAGGAGTGCCTGGGTCTGAGTCCTGGTTCCACATTCAATTCCATCTGCCTGCCAATGTGCATCCTGGAAGGCAGCAGGTGATTGTTCCAGTACTTGGGTCTATGTCAACTACATGGGAGACCTGAATTGAATTCCAGGCTCTTAATTTC